ATTAAGCCTAGCTAGCGTAAAAGCCCTTATGACTTTAGGTGACATAGTGCTGACTAAATACGAGGAGATAATAAAAGCAGATTTCTTAAGGAAGTTATATTTCCCTAACTGGCCAAGATGGTCCTGTAGTTCAATGTCCCATACCCTTAACTTCACCGCTTTAATGGCATCTGTAAGACCCATTGCTATAAGTATACTGGGAGAAAAGCCAATTTTTGATATCTCTTCTGTTATATGCTTCTTCCACTCCGACTGAAAGGAATCTAGTAGAATCAGTGGGGCCAAGCCTTCTGATGAAAAAATCAGTTTAAGCCAGTATTTCAGCATAAGGACTTTGGCCTCTGCTTTAATGGATATTAACCCAACCTCTTAAGCGAAGAGCTACATTGGAACTGCAAGGTGGAACTCCAAGAATGGCTCTCGCAAATTTGGTCTGAACACTCTCCAGAGGTCGTAGATTAGTGTAAACAGATGTTTGGGTAGGTGATTTTAGATGGACAATATAATGTTTTTAATATAACACTGCCTTAGGTTTTACCTATATTAAGGATATAATATGTTATTAATTGGAAAGAAGGGGTTGTTTTATCATGTTTTAATGGGATTTTATTACCCTGCCCGACTTTACTAAACAATATTTATATGTATCTATTTTGTATTAATTTGGTTTTACTGGTCTATGACCGTAATAAAATATACTTACTACTTCATGGGTGGGTTGTTTGCTTGTAGCTTTCAGGTGCTCCTTTCTCCACTCTTTCCTCCTCACTTCTGGGATAGTCTCCTATAATACATTAACATATTTTTGGCAAGTATAACATCCCACAAGTACTGGAACTGGTAGGGAGTAGTCCTGCATAGACCATCCTAACAACGTTTTTTCCACAGCTTCAACTCAGTCTAGTTTTCTCCTTGCGTTGATTGAGTCATGCAATGAAAAGGTTGAGGCACTAGTGGCTCCCATTAGTGTATGGGTAATACTAGCTGGACAGGATTTGGAAAATCGGGACTCCATCTCTAAGAATCCCTCAGTTAGTGGCTCTATTGGCTGGGGGATTCTGGGTGCTATTGTCCAAAACAGTAACTTTTCCAAGCTTTATAACTGAGTAAGTTTTTCCCTCTCGTATATTATGTTTTGATAGCATGGGGAGGTGAACTACAGTAAAGTGAATCTCTGTCCAGATAATTTAAGTTTCTAAACTGCTCTGTGGACAATTTCTTCAACACATTTGGGAAAGGATCGCTTTTAAATATGCTGACAGTACTACCATTTAAATATTTTGAAGAATACATATCTATACACAAGATTAAAGAAGCAATTGAATGTCTTAGTCCAGGGGAACCTTCAGGAAGATGCTGTTTTCAAGCTCCTACAAAGCAGAATTCTATAAGGCTATTAAGAATCTTCTAGTGACAATCTTCACTATCTAAGAACGATTAAAATACTTGTTCCTGTGACTTTGTCCTAAGTTACTTTTCAGGTGGGTTTTTATAGCTAATAGATTTACAGAAGTCTGTATATTTCTTTTAGCCATAGCAACAAATATGGATGTGCCCTCAACATATAATATTGATGTGCTATTTATTTTTCTCATATGTATATTTTCGCTGCTCTTCTGAAGCTCAAAGCAGATTGCAGTTGAAAAGAAATTAATTCTGAGGTAGTGAGAGTTGCCACTAAGCATACCTCAGCAGGGAGCCATAACCAATCTCTGGTCTCTGATATGCATATGGTATGTGTACTTCAAACTACCCTGAGTGAAACAGCTAGGCTATGTCAGTTTCATACCTATTTAATCCAGCAAATTTATGTATCTGTCTTTTATTTAATTTTTTGGAAGAGAGCAAACCTGTTTATTTTGCAATATGTACATGTTTCATATCTTTTTGTAGCATTTTTGTAAACAACTTGTGAATTTAGAACTGCATCAGTAATCTGAACAAATGGAATCTGAAATATATGTTCTGAACTGAGTTAGTCTGAAAAGTCAGATGTATACTTAGATTTAGGTATAAAGTAGCCCTTAGCAACTGCAGCTTGGTTGTCTTAATAAGTTAATTGTTGTTGTTGAGTTGTTTAGTCGTGTCCAGCTCTTGGTGACCCCATGGACCAGAGCACGCCAGGCCCTCCTGTCTTCCACTGCCTCCCGGAGTTGGGTCAAATTCATGTTGGTAGCTTCGGTGACATTGTCCAGCCATCTTGTTCTCTGTTGTCCCTTCTTCTCTTTCCTTCACATTTTCCCAACAGCAGGGTCTTTTAACAGGTAAATGCTGGGATCCTAGTTCCAGAAAGTCATGTTATGTTCTCTCACATGTAGTGTTTAAGAGGCGGAATTATTTTGCACCTTGTTATTCAGAGAGGAATTGGAATTTGCATTGGAAAAGCAATTCTTTATACTGAAAAATGCAGAACACTTGACTTGTGAGGAATTATAGTATAATTAGCTATCAAGCATATTGTTTGTGAAAAGTCATGGAAAGGTTTTCAAACAGTGTAGTTGCTTACAAAATAAGTTCCATTGAACTCTGTGGGACATACAGTGGTGCCTCTAGTTACGAACGTCACTACATACGAACATTTCGTCTTACAAACAGCTCCGGCCGCAAAATTTTGTTTCTACTTGTGAACGGAGCTTCCACTTATGAACACAAAAAAGGCAGGGGAAAAGGGTGGGAAATTCAAATACCTAACTATAGGTGGCGATGAGGCTGCTTCTTTGTAGCTCTTTCGCCCTGGCAGTTAGTCAGTGAGGGATCCGAGGAGTCTGCCTGCTAAGGTAAGGTGCTGCTTTATACTTTTAACTGTTCTGGGTATTTTTGCAGTGTGGTTTTCAGCTGGGGGGTTTTTATGTTTCTGTGCTGTGATGGGTCTTGGGGGTTTGTTGGTTTTGTAGTTCCTCTTTGGAGTGTTTTTTCCCCATTTCTGATGGGTCTTGGGGGTTGTTTCTTTTTTGTCCCCCCATTTGTGTGTGTGTGTTTGTTTTAAAGCATACTGAAGCAATATATTCACGAAGGCTTTCACGGCCGGGATCTAATGGTTGTTCTGGGTTTTTCGGGCTCTTTAGCCGTGTTCTGAAGGTTGTTGTTTCTGACGTTTCGCCAGTCTCTGTGGCCGGCATCTTCAGACGACAGCAACCTGAAGCAAACTGTGTGAAAAAGCCACATCTCTTTTGGCCTTTGGGAGCTTCACCTGCTCGATTCCCCAGACTGGTGTCCTCCAGTTGTACTTCATTATAGCTGTGATCAACCACAGCCAAAAAGACAGACCCAGCTATTTTTTTTCCTGTAATAGCTGGAGTTGGCCAACGTCTGTTTGTGTGAATTGACAAGATATGTTGTTGAGGTTCATGCATAGACACCAAATACCTGCCATCGGAAGAGGCTGATGATTCCTCTAATATTTACCACCCAGGATGATTGTGTTATTTTGCTTAAATAAAGATTATAAAGATAAGGAGTGCTTTTGCACAACTCTGCCTAGTGTCCCAGCTATCACATGTTCTAAGTTGACCTGACTTAGCAACCTTCATCCATGTCTTAGTTATATTATGTCTTGACTATTACCATGTGCTCTACATAGGGCTACATAGGGTATAGGATCTTCAGCTTCTGCAACATGTGGCAGCTAGGCTGCTAAGTGGTATATAGCAATGGTTCCCAACCTTGGGCAACCAGGTGTTATTGAGTAACAAAGGTTAAGAACCACTGGTATATAGCAATGCTTCCCAACCTTGGGCAACCAGGTGTTATTGGACTGCAATTCCCAGGAGCCTTCACTACCAGTGATGCTGGCTGGAGTTTCTGGGAATTGCAGTCCAAGAACACCTGGGTTGCCCAAGGTTGGAAATTGCCAGTGTATAATATCATGATCACATAACCCTGATACTAGTTGGCAACTGGTTATTGTGCCCAATGCAAGTGTTAGTTTTAATCTTTAAAGCTCCTGGTGGCTTGGGGGTGGGCTGTCTGAGAAATCACCTGTCTCAATATGAGCCTGTACAGACTCTTTGTGCTTTTTTTCTGAACTGTGATCAGAAAAGAGTGCATAGATTTAAGAAGGGAGTAAAATCACATCTTTTAAAACTGGCATTTGATATTTAACCTGACTTGCTGTGTTGTTTTTTAAGCTACGTCCTTTGCTGTTTTAATCATTTTTAAATTTCCTTTGCAAGATTTTGATGACTTTACAGTGGGGTGACTTAATATGGTTTTATTAAGGCTTTTGATAAATGCTTGTTTTGTTTGTTTTTGTATCTTGTAAAAACTTGGTAAGCTGCCTTGAGTGCTATTTTTAGTGGATATGTGTGGTTTAAATGTAATAAATAATCAATTTAATTTAATAATTATTCATTATTATTGGCTCAGGATTCATAGGGGAAATGAATGGTGTTTATTCATAGTGAAAATGTGTTAAACCTTTATCTTTTATTTACTGTGAAGTAATTTATAATGTACAGTCTCTAAAATAATATCTTTCTTTCAGTGAAATAAAGAGAATGGAACTGGAAAGAAAAATGCTCGAATATAGCAAATCTGATACTTGCTTGTAAGTACATAATGTGCCTTTTTTTCTATATTTGGGTTAGTATTTTTAAAATTGGGAAGGGTTTTTTTAAACTATAGTCTTAAAAGTGGTTAAAAGCTAATATTGTTTATATTGTGAGGAAGACTGACATACCGTATTTTTCGCTCCATAAGACGCACCTTTCCATAAGGCGCACCAATTTTTTAGGAGAAGAAAATAGGAAAATATAATCTGTTTTCTTCGCTCCATAAGACGCACAGAATTTCCACCCCCCTGTTTTGTGGGGGAAAAGTGTGTCTTATGGTGCGAAAAATACGGTATATAGTAAATGTTGTGATAATGTAGCATTTTAATATCAAAAGTTTTAGTTTACTAGGCACAAACACTGGCAATGTATATTCAAAACTAGAATATAGGAAGACCTGGGAAACTAAAATAATGGTTTATTCCTGGATGAAAGCGGGGTTCCTGGCCCAGAAGTCTTAACAATGAAGTCAGGCTAAGAATACAGTGAGAACTATCTAGAGTAAAACCTGAACACAAGAAGCTTAAAATGCTTGAAAGTATTTAACTGTCTGAAATAGTAATAAAATACTGCTAATCGTTGCAAAGAGCAAGTTAACAACTCTGCCCCGGAATATTACCTACTTACTTTTCTTGATGGTTCTACTGCTGAAAGAGCCAGGCATAGGCTTGGTTTGCTGTTTTTTAAAAAATATATAATAATCTGGAACATTATGGGATGGAGCTCAGAGTTTTTGTTTGTGAGCCAAACCCTTCTAAGCTTTGCTGTGGTTGCACGTCTGAAAAGAAAATTAATTTTACTCTCTCAGAATCATTTACATAATCTTACTCAGTGATGACCAGCTTTCTCCCTTGGAGCTATTTGCTAGGGGCTGTGGTTTTTTTTTTTTTGGTGCTTGTGTTGTTTTTAAGCTGGAGCCTCTCTGTTTGCAAGCATATACATTCTCTTTCTCTCTCACACACAGGGAAACTAAACCACTACAGTTCACACGTTCTTCTGTCCTAAGATTAGGAGACCTCTGCCTGCTCTGTTTGCCTCTCCCCTTGTCCTCCTGTCAGACCAGTAACTGCTGACTGTCATATGTGCATGCTCCTAGTAGAATTAACAGCTATAGGAAGTCAGTGGAATACTACTAAGGGGTCCCTTCTGTTTTGGAAATGTCCAGATAAAAATCTGCAATTCATGGGCAAGAGTGTGGGTATCAGAATGAGTGAATTGTTTTGCTGAATTTTGGTAGCTGTGTTTTAGAAGAGCTAGGGCAGGATCCAGTGTTGGGTTTCCAGTAGCACAACAGCAACATCCAACAGAACTACAGTAAAAGGGCCACATGTCCTTCACCCTTCACTTGAATAAATCATGGTCATATCTAAGAGATGCACTGATTTCTGTGGGAGTGTTCTTGTTTTGATATTTGTTCCATGTGAATGTTTTAAATTAAAAACTGACCTGGTAAATAAATATGGGTTTGAATCCCATTACAGTATTGCTTGTTTAAGGTTTTTATAACTTGCAGTGGCTAACTGCAGCTAATTGCCAAGGTCTGGGGTGCACCTTGGTGGCATTGTCAGGCATGTGAACCAGGTAGCTAATGAACATGTCCCCCAGCACCTTGTCAATTAGCCATAGCAAGTTATCCAGACCTTATGGGTACACAAATCGAATTCTGTCCAGGAAGCTAAAATTACGGTAAGCATTGCTTGTAACTGCTCTAATTTTGCAACTATGTTGCTTTGCCCACAGACACGCCAGGACTGAAAATCTGCTTCACATCCAAATCTAGGGATATGTTTTATCACTGCATTCCAGTTCTGGTTTGTTTGGAAGTAATTAACAGTAATTCTGTTTATGGATGAAACTGACAGTCATTTTTAATTGCAACATCCTGATTTCTTTACCAGCTCATGCACAAAGCGAAAGTGAATGAGCTGTGCATATGGGAAAACTGCTCATGTACATCACAGCTTAAGAAGCCAAAATTCATTGCTTTCCATGATCTGTAAAAGAATGTGGCCTATGTGGCATCATGCCCCTTGCATCTTTGGGGTAGGCTTATGTCATGT